AACTAGTCATCAGCTTGACAATATCCTCCATATATTTTGAAAACACAACACACTTGTATAAAAATAAAATATAAGTGTGTTGGAAGTAACATTTTTCCTATTGATAATAGACTTCCATTACAAGCTTGCCACATGAGACTGAGTCATACGTAAACATTCACCATTGTTTGAGGCTTTGGGGTTTCAATCAGGAAACACCAAAGTCCATGCAAATCCAGTACCGTTATGTACCGTAATAAAGTCCTGTGAACCTTTGCAGTGTCAATAAGAAATATCAGCAATTCAAAAGAATTCATAAGCATTGAGCAAACATGCACCACATCACACATGTGTACTCTGGACAAATTTTTAAATGTCAGACACTTCAACGAGCAAAAAAAATGTCCATTCTGGAAATTTGTAGGAGTGTGGCTTTCTTTATGGCAGTACCACAGGTTTTACCCTAATCTTGTGTCAATAGCTCAGACAAAAGGTTTGACCTCAAAATGATAACGCCCGAGAGAAAATATAAACATTGGGATGAATTTTGCACTCTTGTTGTTGTGGGGGGTACATTTGACAAGTGTAGAGATATTGGGTTGGAGAAAAAAATCTTCATTGTGTCTTTGTTGGTGCACAATACTGCACATTATAAATTCATGTACAAATGTACATGTATGTGAACTCAGCGCCATTACGGGTATATGTGTAAAAACTAAATATGCACTAAAAACTATATGCACTACAAAGTGCGCTGATGAATGCAGACGTGAACAACAAAATCTGTTTTCCAAACAAAACTAACAAGTTGCGAGTGCACAATAAGCTCTGGCCATGTTGCAAGAAGTCTTGCATGAAAGTCTTGCATGAAATCGATCAAAATGATCCCCGCCAGAGCTTAAAAAATGCGACGCCGAAAAATGTGAAGCCGATGGCACATACAGGTATGGAACACCATACTTTTGATCCATATTTGGGGGGACAGACAGACCATGGAGGTAGAATTAGAGGACGGACAGACAGACCATCTGACCGACCAACCAACCACCAAGTGACATGTAGAAACTCCTGCCAGAGCTTAAAAAGGTGTCCTGCCTTTACCAAATAGAGACAACTTTATATGGTTCAGTGACTTCAGTCACTTAATAATTATCCCTAACCCACCTCACTCCTTCAAAATCCTCCTGGCGGTTTTGGAGGATTCTAGAGGATTGAGGATGAATAGTGATTGAATCACATGAGGACTCTGGAGGATTGAGGATGAATGGTGATTGAAGCACATGAGGATTTTGGAGGATTGAGGATGAATGGTGATTGAAGCACAAGAGGATTTTGGAGGATTGAGGATGAATGCATTTTGAGGCAGGACTGTCTGATGATTTTGAAGGATTTGGCATTGGTTATCCTTCATTTAAAACACGAGTGCAAAATTTTGGGATGAGGAGGATTTTGGAGGATTGACGATGAATGCATTTTGAGGCAGGACTGTCTGACAATTTTGAAAAATTTAGGCAGAGTTGCAAAATTTTGGAGGATTGAGGATGGTTCTAAGCAAAAAGGGCCTAGGGGGTTAGGGTTTTAATGTTGGTCATACATGTACATGTACCCAGCGTAGACACAACTTCCATACAAAAAAAAATCACAGCAGTTGAACATGAATTTCATGCAACGTCTGTTTCAACGAAATTGCACAAAAATTTACTGTGCAATTTCTTGTTTGTTTCAAGGGGAAAAAAGCTCACAAGTGTATAATTCCTTCATTATCATAAAGGCAGACAGTTATCGTACATGTACAGGTCTGCATTCAATGTCCATGTACATGTACATGTACATATATGTATAGTGTTTCTGACTACAAGCGTTCAATCTGTTACGCCCTTTCTACGGTATCATCTCACAGAGTGAAATTACGCTTTTTGACATCGTACAATTTCTATGTCGGCCACTGTAACTACAAATTGATATGCTCATTCAAATATCGTATTGTATCCATTCTAAAGTTAGGGACAGAATTTGACAATGTTACGGCCCACATAACAGCCCAACCTTGATTCTGCTAACAATGTATTATGTTCGAGCAGCCTTTTGTGTAAAATCATGCCCTCTGCATTATGTTTGAACTTTGATTTTCTGAAAATTAAGTGTACATGTATGATGTGACATTTGAGACCAAGTCTGGCTCGGGCCAATGTACACATTCCTTAAAATTTAGGGTTCTGTGTCATGTATGTCAGTAGAATCCATGTGCATAATTCTTGAGACAAAATGTCAGGTGTATGTTAGTCAGACAGGTGGACACAGCTTGAACGTGTTGAAGGAAATTTAGGCTGTCTGGGTTGTATTACATTTACAACAAAAGACATGCACAGACGATGTGTGTAAAGGTGTGTAAAAGATTGTCTAGCGGCTATCCACTATGAGCTCCGTGCGCGACCAAAAGAGGGCGCGTTTTTACCTCTTTTGAGAGCTCCATGGAGGGGACACAGTATGCGCGTTCGTGCGCAAAGTACGCATGACTTCCTGAGTGTGCAAAAGCTATAGCAACCGCGTCTTCGCGTCAGCGTCAGGCGTTGTCGGCGCGCGAAAACATTCGAATTCAACTTGCGATGGTCTCCGAGACTAATCTCTGCCTCCAATAACTTTGGAGACATTCGAAATACGCAGTGGGTGGATCGGGAACCAGTCTAGATCACTCCCAACTCTCCTTTTCTGGTCGTTGATGGGTACTTGTGCACGGAGCGGATAGGTCTAATAATTTTACGGGCAATTCCATGTGAAATGAGGACATTGCTGAAAAGTGAAAAATTCATAACATCTTCAGAACTATAAGCATCACAACCTCAAATGTGGAAGGGTGCAACAAGACCTTTCATTGAGTGGCGTGCTACACAATCTCACCTGAACGTTTCGTAATACTGCACGTCCGTTATGGCCCCGCTGAGATCCAGACCGTTGCTGTACTCTTCGCTGATATGGCTGACGTTTCCCCCGGCCTTCGCAAGCATGCTTTTCAGGACCTGCGTCGTCTCCTGCAGCATGCGCTGCCGCGAGGCGTTGCTGCTGGGTAAGCGAAAGATATCTTCCAGCTCCTTGACCTCGCCTGCGAGATCAACTGTGATGCCTGTTTGTATTTTGGAGATCTGTCAATGAAAAAAAAAAAGAGTTTAGGTATAGTTTGTAGTTATGTGACAACACCGAAGAGTGTTTGACATTTTTTTTCGTGGTCACAGAAAACCAGCCAAGTATCATCTTTGTACCAATCTCACTGACACTGGTGAGCCGGGCAGTGCTATCATATAGGATTACCCTGTAATGCCAATGAATGGGCTAAAAAAATCTGGCTCAGATGAATAAAAAGACTTGGGTGTATATTCTGAATGGAATTTCGTGCACTCTGTACACAAGCACAGTTACAAACAAAGAGTTAGGCGCGACACTTGAATGCAGTGCCAAAGCCTTGCAGTGCACTCATGTGAAGATGACATGGGTCTGTGCACTTTTGGCACAAAAACACTAGTGTAGGACAGTTTTGGAAAGTTTTAATATCAAAGTACGGTAAGACTCGCAAGTCCTCAGTGTCTAGTCTGGTGTTTTTGACACATGTAGTTGAGTACGAGCCCGAGTCTTTACAGCTTGACTGCTGTTGAGTCTGCGTCATTTGAATGGCGACTCAAGATGGATCGAGTCCGAGTTCTGGACTCGAGTCATACAACGCTGCTATCCACCCAGTGTTAGGTTCAAGACTACATCTTGAGCATACCTCCCATGCGCTATATTTGATCTAGTGCCCAAATTCCCAAGAGTGTATTTGGTTCATCTTCAATAGCTTGACAGTGCTTGCCAATGACAGGCTGCTTTAGGGGAAAAAAAAACAACTTCAGCCTTCTACCAAGAATAGATCCATCCGTATACCTCTCCTTCAGCTGTTTTTATTGTGCTGTTGACATCCTCCGCGGACTGGACCAGGTGCTGCACACCGGTTGCCGTGGTCTCGTTGGCATATAAACCAGCACCCACAAATGCCCTGAAAGGATTCAAAACTCAAACGTTTATATTGCAAAACCTGTGGAGAGTTCACTTATTGAAGACTAAGAATGTGATTATCAAACGTAACATTTAACTGTTAAGAATATGCCTAGGTAGAGAAATGGAAACGTCTTAGAAAATGTGACTCTTTTTTTTCCTGAGGCCATGAACAATGAAAGGTTGTTTTTACTACAGTAATAGATGGGTGGACAAGTGGGTAAAATCACAGGTGTTTTTTTCTTGGCCTTGCCATTTTAGGACAAAAGCAGCCATTTTAAAGGAAAAGTCAGTTACATCTCCATACGTGTACGTACATGTACCATACATGTACATGTAGATGAAGTTTTCTTTGATGTAAAATTTATGATCAAGGATTGTCCCTTCACAAACATTATGGAATTTAAATTAACCATATGCCAAATGTACCAACCCTTCTAAATTTAGTCTTTCAAATGTCACTCAGTCCATGCAACAATGGAATGTCGAACTCTACAAAGGAAATGATACAAAAGCTCAAGATTGCCTGAACTCATATGACCGGGTCAAATCTGCCATCCAGATTTATTTGTTCATGGTCAACTGTAAACAAGACAGGTTCCCATGTACATGTACATGTACAAATGCATGGTCTTGTCAATTTCACAGTAATGAGTCTCAGGCGAGCGCATACAATGCACATGTAATGCAATAGAAATTCTACAATTTATAGTGAACATTGGTACGATAAATGCATTTCCTGACAGTTATGCAATACACCGGTAGTATGTACACAACAATAGTGTAAGCTACAAATACGAAATTTGGTTTCATACATTTGTTTAGTAATTAACTGTAATGAAGTGGGCCAACTTTTGGAAACGCCTACTGGAAGTTGATCATTCTTCAATTTAATTAATAACTTGATGCATTTCCTAGTTTATGTGTACGTGTGTGTAAATATATGGAAAATTACCCATTTTTACCAAAAACACTCTCTGCTTATTGTTTTTGATTGACTGTACCAGGCAACGAGAATTCATTGCCAAGGTTTACATACATGTACATGTATTAAACCGAAAGAACTAAATGTACCGGTAAGAAAACAATTTCTCAATATATTTTTCTCGCAGGTCGGTCAGTATTCTGTTTGAAAAAAAATACGACCAAAAAAAACAAACACCTGCAAACACTTCTTCAGAGACATGTTTGATATTCACACGGTAGGCCTACCGTATCATCCACAAATTTCTCGGGGTTCTTGTATTCATTTCAGTGCAGTAGATTTTCTACCATGCAAAGCTTTAAATCTCACATGGGGCACCTCTGGCTGAATGTACTACATCTTCTTGTCAAGATATCTGATAATTGATACGAAAACTGACAAGCACATGGAGGATTGTGTGATAAGATCACAGAATCTGTATCCTACAGCAATGAATGTGATCATAGATGAGATATGTACATGTATACATTGTACAGTGATTGACTTCTGTGCATACAACAGTGTGGGACCACAGCAGGGGGCCCAATTAGCCTGGAGTGGCCTCACAGCATGGGATTTCAAGTTGGTCAAATAACTCCCAATTTTGAAAACAAATTACAGTGCAACTCAGGCGGAGGGGGGATTCGAAGAAGAAAAAAACATGTTTAGACAACGACTACCGATATAAAAATAAAGACACTGTTATGATGACTTCACAGTATCCTAAAATAATAAATTCCACACACTGCATGCTCCATCCATCCCAATCGGTGAAATTCCACCGCAGAATATGCCAACTGACCCAGACACAGCGGTGATAATGACAAAACCAGCCTTGCAATTATTATAACAAGCACTTCTGATTGAATGTCGAGTTGTAGAGCAAGAACAGTTCAGGCATTAGATCCATTTCATCTGGGACTGGCAAATTCCACACAAATTAAAATTTTGTTGAGATTTGGGGAGTCACATTTTTCTTCATGTGTATCTGCAAAAAGGGTTGGGAAACCCACTTCAGAACCGGGTACCTGAGTGCCCGACCGCCGATGTCAGGAACCGGTTCCAGATTATGGGATCGGGTACCCGTAACCAACTTTACAAATTGCTCAGTAACTTCTCAGACAGTTATAGAGAAAGGTTTTGAATGCCATTTTGTGGGGAATTTTTCAAAAAGAATTGAAAGCCAGGCTATGATGTACATGGAAAAGCAACACAGACTTCACGTTTATGTGAATTTTTAAGCGAGATGACACTCATGAAAGTAGTTTCCACCCATAATAAGGCTATCTAAGAGCCCTTCAGACAGCTTCTGGGATTTGGATTTTGGGGCTGGGTTTCTTTCACGGGTACCCGTGTTTTACTTCAATAGGGTACCAGATTCCCGTACGACCCGTAAACGCACACCACTAGACTTGTGGAGTTGGTTTTCTGTTTTTAGTTCCTAATAGGTTTGAAAATCAAAATTATGTTTTTAAAGGTTTTCCAAGTGCCAAAATATAGGCATAGGCCTAGGTTTTTAGGATGTAAAACTGCACTTTTGTTTTCAGCTTGAGGTAGCAGAAATACAGCGATTTGTTTAAACGGTAATTAAATTAACTCAAGTTCTCCACACTACATAAAGTAACAGATTTCAAGCAAACTGACAAATTCTGAAACACTTTGAGAATGTGGTTATTTTGGAATAAACTATTTGGAATCCATTGATTCTAAACATTTTGATTCTAAATGTATTGGTTACTTTGGAAATAAAATAATCTCTCACGTTTTTTTATAGGTTTTAAAGAAAGTTTTCGCTGTGAATCAATGGTGTACCTAGCCTCCAATGATGGAATTTGAACAGACCAAGCAGGACATAATCAGGTAAGAATTCTGTTGAATGACTGCAACAATCTTCTGAGATTTAATCTGAAAGGATGCAAAAAAGGCCATGGCCAGGGGCTCATGGGGCTATGTTATTGTAAACACTGTCCACATTGTATCATGTGTGAGACTTGTACTAACAATATACCTTGCAGTTACATGTATACTGTAAGTATGGGTCAACAATGTGTACAAGTCCAAGGGTCAACCTTGTGACATAAATTACTTGGCAGACTGGCAGAACGATTTCCGTATATAAATGCGAAAATTCCCACATTTGGCTCAGTGCTTACCAAACCAAAAGCTTGGATTTTTGATAGTTCAGTATGTACAATGTATTGTAATGTACTGTAATTCCTATAAATTGTTTGATTTGGTCAAGCTTGTGGGAGGGGGCTGTTGTTGTCTGTTCTGTCCGGGGGTACATTGTACATGATCTACATGTACATGTATGTGGTTCAGGCTTTTTAATTACCATACTATACAGGGTGGATTAAAAAAAAACACGAAACCAAGATATTATTGCTAATTGGAACAGAAGTAGGGCACATGTGAATGAGTGAATCAAAGGGAGATATCCTCTGTTCGGGTTGAATCTCCTCATTAAAATGACACCCTGATCATGTCATTACCTTCACGGTTGACTGAGCAGTGACCAATTTTATGAAAGGGTCTATTTAGAGAATTGCGCCACTTTTCAATTGTGGTTTTTGTGGTGTCATTTGATATCTCGGTTCATTTTCTTTTCTATCCACCCTGTTTTCGTGTTATGTTATCTATTTTTGACTTTTAAATAATCACATTTTTAAATTTAATTCATATTCCTTTTTACTATTTTGATTGTAGACAGCCAGGGAGTATTTTTAAAATGGATTCGGCGCTATAGAACTTTCCATTATTATTATTATTGTCAGATATTTTTTTTTCACTCAATGAAACTGATGTAATGTTTAGCTTTGTCATCAGCAACAATAAAATGCACATAGTAGGCCTACATGTACACGTACAGTATGTATGTTGTACAGTAAAGTTACATTTAATTTTAACAAGTTATAAATACACAATTACATATGTACTTCACTCCACAAGTACTGTAAACTACTTTATAATTCTTGTGCAACTATGTAATGGGAAATTCCATCGTTCGTTGGGAAAATTTTGTTTCCAATCAATTTGGGGAAAATTACATGTAGCATTCCACAATCAATTTTTTTCTTCTTGGAACTACATGTACAACGTTCTGTAATGGAAAATGGACTGTAATGAATTACAGTTGAAAACTACCTGTGATGGAAAATAACTGAAATGGAAAATTACATCTCTACATAAATCAATGTCTTGGGTAACCACAGAACTCTGCGCCTATGCTTACCATTTTGCGCTTTTGCAAAAGACAAGCCACGAAACTCTACAATTATGGGAATACACGTAAATATGCCTTCAGCTCAAGCCATTATTCATGGCCTGGCCCCTTAGCTGGTTTTAAACATACATATTTTTTTTACGGACTTGTTTAAACCAGCCAAGCACATCTTTATTCCCATTCATAAATACCGGTACCTTTTGGTCAAAAACTCAAAAGAAGTTTAATAATTGACAAATTTCCAACAATTTTGTTCAACAATTTTACTTTATGTTTTGTGAAACACCCCTCGGGCCATGTATGTTGTATGTGCCTCGCGGGCATTGTGCTAAAAATCTCCTTATATGGTAATTAATGCGCGTACTGCACGATGTGGCACAGAATGCATTAACTGCGTTTAAACCTGCCAGTATTTTATCCACGGTTTAAAACCACCCACGTCACAGCTCTTGACCAATAGGAATGGACAAAAACTGTCTCAGGTACACTATACATGTATTAATTAATGAATATCCCGTTAAGCACGGAAGCCAACATTTCTAGCTTACCCTTGAAATATGCTTATAAATGGTTAGTAGTTTTCGACTATTGTTTGCACTTTATTTTGCTAAAGGAATTTGGGCCTAGTCACTGTTTTTTGTTGTTGTTACGAATTCGGGCTTAAAAGATAATTGGTTTACTCACGCGCAAAGCAACACCATAAAAATTACACCGCACTTCAAGCATTTCGTCTTCTGTTCTCGGTTTGGCACCGGGTGGGCTCGTCGTTTCTTGTTCTTACAGCACTGACACGTTCCATAGATGACAAGGACCAACAGGCTGGCTAGCAGCCATAAGACTGGAATAGCTGCCCAGAAAATAAGGGTCTGCAAAATAAAGTGACATTTTCTTCAAATCAATATACAACCAACTACATTGAAATCTGGTAAAATGATCATAGGTATGTTTTATATTGCCACATGCTGAGTGAAGTAGTCTTCGTTTCATCAGCATTTTTTCCATATTTGCAGATGTTATTTTCCAAGCTTGTATCGTTTTTCCACAAAATAATGTAGTATCCTGATGCCACTTTGGTCTTTGTGTGAAAAGTGCTCGGGGAATTGTGAATATTTTCTGTGTAAACATAGTAAATCTAAAAAAATAGGAAAGCGCTTTTCAATCCTAAATTAATTTTTTTTGGTCATGTAATTTGCAATGACAAAAATTAAAAATTGGCATTTATCCAACTAGCATGTGCGATCTACCACAAACACATAATCAAACTGCCTCCATATGATATTACACATGTTTAAATCTGCACCATTAAGGTAAATAATTGTAATATTTTTTGGCACATAAAAATAAATCACTTGACAAAATGTTCATTCCGAAAAATTTCACTTGGCGTCAAAAGGTACATTTCAGCATCCAAAATTCTGTCACCATTCTGAATTATGCTTATCATTAAATTGCTAATCACAAACATATATTCAATCATCCAAATATAAATGAATAAACCAATGAATATACTTCACATTGACCATTCCCTTTACTATTTTTGCACTCCTTTGCATTTTTAACAAATCATTTACAATTTGTGTTGCCTTCATGTAAATTTGTTAAAAAAATATTTTAGTTATTGAAAATATGCGGATATATGCAAAACATGGAATTAAAAAATAAATGCCACTTTTCTTTTAAATCTCCATGGCAAAGTGCACAACGTTTGGGGGCTGCAAATTCAAATTTACTTTCAAAAATATTGAAGTTGTAGATGTAGTTGTACTGTAGTATACCTTTAAATGATTTTTATGACATGCATGATGTGATAAGATACACCACCACACATTTCATTGGCACGTACGTATATTTGTAATATTCCTTACAGCTGAAGTGTGTAATCCGCAAAACTATGAATGAAAGTGAAAGAGGCCCCGCCCATTCAAGCGCGACACAACAATCACAATGCACAATAGTTTAGTGGGTGAAGTAATCAATGGAGATTAGCCAGCATGAATCATCAACAAACCGTCCGGCACAACACACGGCCATGACGGCCAAATTAGACAGACGTCAATTTCCCGATTTCAAATTTCTCTGATTTGAAGACACCGAACACAACCATTCTTTTCCCTTACATAACAAAACTTGTCAGTTTCCATCTGAAAATAAAAACAAGGAAAACTGAAGTTACCTGGACATATTTGAGTTCCCAGGGTTCGAAAGTGGAGCTGATCTTTTCGAAGCCCAGGTATGAAACGTGCGGCCAGTTGTGGAAGAATTCGGTGAGCCAAAATGTGACGAATTCGTCGGCATATTTGAAGTTCACCAGGTACCACATGATTGCTTATGAGGAAGAACGGGTGAAAATGTCAGTAATGATCCATGGATCCGTTTTTGTTGAAGAATCCCCAACTAGCTAATATCCGAGAAAAATGTTCACAGAAAACTTCGAAGACTTCGTGTACGTGTGTGCGCAGCGGTATCTTGCACAATCGTGTACGTACGATCGATCCGTACTATTGTACAATGTACAACTACAACTGTATTTTGTATGAGCGAAAGATCCATGGTTCCCTCCCATTCACACGCGATAGAAATTGATAAAGTTACGACACCAGTGATGTCTGGTACTTAGTATTCTTTATACTTCTAATTCACTTATTATGACAATGGTGACCAGTAGAATTTCCAAAAGGGTGGTTTCCGTTTGTGAATTGGCTACGACTTCAGTTTTTGGCATTATAATAACGGTCAAAAGCCGTAGCCAGTTTCAGATCCAGCCATGGTCCGGTCACGTATCGAAACAGCCATTAAATTTTGCCAAGTGGGGGCGCTAGCATCAAAACGTGGCGCATTTTAAATTTAGCCAGCAGCGCATACATTACAAAAACCGGGAACAGTTCTCCAAAATGTTCAACTTCAAGGCTAATTTTTGTTTGAAAAAAAAAATGAAAACACACACATCAAATTGAAGCTTGATTTTACCTCTTCCATTTCCATTCCTCCTTAACATTTGGTAAATTTTGATTATTTAAAAAGAAGTTTCTAAATTTACTAAAACTAGTGTACATATACACCGATTACGCTATAAATGTTGGCAAGACCAATAAAAGATGTGTCCCAAGAAGCCAGATCAACAGCAAAAGTGAAAATTTCATTAAACTGTCTCTTTTTTTGAGTTATTTTCTGAATTTTTCAATAATGCAAAAATATTCCGCTAAAGTAAAAGTTAGCTCAATAAATCAAAGGCTGCACTGTGAGTTGGAAAGCGGATGAATAGGCCAACAAGCTGGCAAATCGGCAAGGCTTCAGACTCGAAACTTTTGGAGTGAGCTCCAGACGTAGGAAAAAGGTGCCCCCAGTTTGGTTGTTGTGCAGTAAGTCCCAAAGCAAGGGCTGTCAGCGCCAGCCGACATGAATCTCATGTGTCTCGGTCTAAATGTACCTTAACATGGATGGATTTTGACAAACTATAGCTTGTTGGATAGCGGATGAATAGACAACAAGCTGACAAATAGGCAAGGCTTCAGACCTGAAACTTTTGGAGTGAGCCTCAGACGTATGTACACGATGCCCACAGTTTCGTTTTTGTGCAGTAAGTCCAATAGCAAGGGCTGTCAGCGACAGCCGACATGGCTCTCATGTGTCTGGGTCTAAAGTTACCTTAACATGAATGGATTTTGACAAACTTTAGCTTGTTGGATAGCGGATGAATAGGCCAACATGCTGACAAATCGGCAAGGCTTCAGACTTGAAACTTTTGGAGAGTGAGCCCCAGATGTAGGAACATGATGCCCCCAGTTTCGTTTTTGTGCAGTAAGTCCCATAGCAAGGGCTGTCAGCGCCAGCCGACATGGCTCTCATGAGTCGGGTCTAGAGGTACCTTAACATGGATGGATTTGACAAACTATATCTTGTTGGATAGCGGATGAATAGGCCAACATGCTGACAAATCGGCAAGGCTTCAGACTTGAAACTTTTGGAGTGAGCCCAGATGTAGGACATGATGCCCCCAGTTCGTTTTTGTGCAGTAAGTCCCATAGCAAGGGCTGTCAGCGCCAGCCGACATGGCTCTCATGAGTCTGGTCTAAAGGTACCTTAACATGGATGGATTTTGACAAACTTATCTTGTTGGATAGCGGATGAATAGGCCAACATGCTGACAAATCGGCAAGGCGTCAGACTTGAAACTTTTGGAGTGAGCCCCAGATGTAGGTACATGATGCCCCAGTTTCGTTTTTGTGCAGTAAGTCCCATAGCAAGGGCTGTCAGCGCCAGCCGACATGGCTCTCATGAGTCTGGGTCTAAAGGACCTTAACATGGATGGATTTTGACAAACTTTATCTTGTTGGATAGCGGATGAATAGGCCAACATGCTGACAAATCGCAAGGCGTCAGACTTGAAACTTTTGGAGTGAGCCCCAGATGTAGGTACATGATGCCCCCAGTTTCGTTTTTGTGCAGTAAGTCCCATAGCAAGGGCTGTCAGCGCCAGCCGACATGGCTCTCATGAGTCGGGTCTAGAGGTACCTTAACATGGATGGATTTTGACAAACTTTAGCTTGTTGGATAGCGGATGAATAGGCCAACATGCTGACAAATCGGCAAGGCTTCAGACTTGAAACTTTTGGAGTGAGCCCCAGATGTAGGTACATGATGCCCCAGTTTCGTTTTTGTGCAGTAAGTCCCATAGCAAGGGCTGTCAGCGCCAGCCGACATGGCTCTCATGAGTCTGGGTCTAAAGGTACCTTAACATGGATGGATTTTGACAAACTTAGCTTGTTGGATAGCGGATGAATAGGCCAACAAGCTGACAAATCGGCAAGGCTTCAGACTTGAAACTTTTGGAGTGAGCCCCAGATGTAGGTACATGATGCCCCCAGTTTCGTTTTTGTGCAGTAAGTCCCATAGCAAGGGCTGTCAGCGCCAGCCGACATGGCTCTCATGAGTCTGGTCTAGAGGTACCTTAACATGGATGGATTTTGACAAACTTTAGCTTGTTGGATAGCGGATGAATAGGCCAACATGCTGACAAATCGGCAAGGCTTCAGACTTGAAACTTTTGGAGTGAGCCCCAGATGTAGGTACATGATGCCCCCAGTTTCGTTTTTGTGCAGTAAGTCCCATAGCAAGGGCTGTCAGCGCCAGCCGACATGGCTCTCATGAGTCTGGGTCTAAAGGTACCTTAACATGGATGGATTTTGACAAACTTTATTGTTGGATAGCGGATGAATAGGCCAACATGCTGACAAATCGGCAAGGCGTCAGACTTGAAACTTTTGGAGTGAGCCCCAGATGTAGGTACATGATGCCCCCAGTTTCGTTTTTGTGCAGTAAGTCCCATAGCAAGGGCTGTCAGCGCCAGCCGACATGGCTCTCATGAGTCTGGGTCTAGAGGTACCTTAACATGGATGGATTTTGACAAACTTTACTTGTTGGATAGCGGATGAATAGGCCAACATGCTGACAAATCGGCAAGGCTTCAGACTTGAAACTTTTGGAGTGAGCCCCAGATGTAGGTACATGATGCCCCCAGTTTCGTTTTTGTGCAGTAAGTCCCATAGCAAGGGCTGTCAGCGCCAGCCGACATGGCTCTCATGAGTCTGGGTCTAGAGGTACCTTAACATGGATGGATTTTGACAAACTTTATCTTGTTGGATAGCGGATGAATAGGCCAACATGCTGACAAATCGGCAAGGCTTCAGACTTGAAACTTTTGGAGTGAGCCCCAGATGTAGGTACATGATGCCCCCAGTTTCGTTTTTGTGCAGTAAGTCCCATAGCAAGGGCTGTCAGCGCCAGCCGACATGGCTCTCATGAGTCTGGGTCTAGAGGTACCTTAACATGGATGGATTTTGACAAACTTTATCTTGTTGGATAGCGGATGAATAGGCCAACATGCTGACAAATCGGCAAGGCTTCAGACTTGAAACTTTTGGAGTGAGCCCCAGATGTAGGTACATGATGCCCCCAGTTTCGTTTTTGTGCAGTAAGTCCCATAGCAAGGGCTGTCAGCGCCAGCCGACATGGCTCTCATGAGTCTGGGTCTAGAGGTACCTTAACATGGATGGATTTTGACAAACTTTATCTTGTTGGATAGCGGATGAATAGGCCAACATGCTGACAAATCGGCAAGGCGTCAGACTTGAAACTTTTGGAGTGAGCCCCAGATGTAGGTACATGATGCCCCCAGTTTCGTTTTTGTGCAGTAAGTCCCATAGCAAGGGCTGTCAGCGCCAGCCGACATGGCTCTCATGAGTCTGGGTCTAGAGGTACCTTAACATGGATGGATTTTGACAAACTTTATCTTGTTGGATAGCGGATGAATAGGCCAACATGCTGACAAATCGGCAAGGCGTCAGACTTGAAACTTTTGGAGTGAGCCCCAGATGTAGGTACATGATGCCCCCAGTTTCGTTTTTGTGCAGTAAGTCCCATAGCAAGGGCTGTCAGCGCCAGCCGACATGGCTCTCATGAGTCTGGGTCTAGAGGTACCTTAACATGGATGGATTTTGACAAACTTTATCTTGTTGGATAGCGGATGAATAGGCCAACATGCTGACAAATCGGCAAGGCGTCAGACTTGAAACTTTTGGAGTGAGCCCCAGATGTAGGTACATGATGCCCCCAGTTTCGTTTTTGTGCAGTAAGTCCCATAGCAAGGGCTGTCAGCGCCAGCCGACATGGCTCTCATGAGTCTGGGTCTAGAGGTACCTTAACATGGATGGATTTTGACAAACTTTATCTTGTTGGATAGCGGATGAATAGGCCAACATGCTGACAAATCGGCAAGGCGTCAGACTTGAAACTTTTGGAGTGAGCCCCAGATGTAGGTACATGATGCCCCCAGTTTCGTTTTTGTGCAGTAAGTCCCATAGCAAGGGCTGTCAGCGCCAGCCGACATGGCTCTCATGAGTCTGGGTCTAGAGGTACCTTAACATGGATGGATTTTGACAAACTTTATCTTGTTGGATAGCGGATGAATAGGCCAACATGCTGACAAATCGGCAAGGCGTCAGACTTGAAACTTTTGGAGTGAGCCCCAGATGTAGGTACATGATGCCCCCAGTTTCGTTTTTGTGCAGTAAGTCCCATAGCAAGGGCTGTCAGCGCCAGCCGACATGGCTCTCATGAGTCTGGGTCTAGAGGTACCTTAACATGGATGGATTTTGACAAACTTTATCTTGTTGGATAGCGGATGAATAGGCCAACATGCTGACAAATCGGCAAGGCGTCAGACTTGAAACTTTTGGAGTGAGCCCCAGATGTAGGTACATGATGCCCCCAGTTTCGTTTTTGTGCAGTAAGTCCCATAGCAAGGGCTGTCAGCGCCAGCCGACATGGCTCTCATGAGTCTGGGTCTAGAGGTACCTTAACATGGATGGATTTTGACAAACTTTATCTTGTTGGATAGCGGATGAATAGGCCAACATGCTGACAAATCGGCAAGGCTTCAGACTTGAAACTTTTGGAGTGAGCCCCAGATGTAGGTACATGATGCCCCCAGTTTCGTTTTTGTGCAGTAAGTCCCATAGCAAGGGCTG